GCATTTTAACTGGCATCACCCCCAAGGCTTTTTGAGAGGTATGTGCCAGGCAGAAATTCAACAGATTAATCCTTTACCAGCATTACATCTCCAAACAAGCAATGGCTGAATCTTAAATTTCTGCCTAGTCCTCCAGGTGCTCTGCCAGGAAAAATAAAATGAGAAAACATAAAAGAAACAAGTATGAGATCCCCATGTTATGTAATGCTCAGAGCTGGCACAGGCTCCTTCATCATGCTATGGGGGGGGGGGGCTGGTCTAGGGCCTTATGAACTTACTTCTGCTGCTGCCACTGTCAAGTAAGTTTGAGGAGAAATGGCAGTGGGCCCATTACAAGTCTGGTAAAAGCTTACCTTTTTGCTCAAGCTTTCCCTTACCCACTAATATCAGACTTTTTTATGCCTTTGAATCTCCTGGGCCTCTATTTTATTTGTTTTTATATGCTTTTAATGCACCCGAAAATGACCATAGGCGCACTTTCTTGTAAGCAAGGTAGAGAATGTTCTAAGAAAATATTAATGGGACCAACTCAATGTTGTGGAAAGAGCAGAATGTTGTCTAGGTGGCAGAGGTGGATTTAGGGCAGCTCAACTGGTTCTGCCACACAGGACGCTGAGCCTAGGGGCCACCACACAGTGTCACAACTATGTAATGAATTGAGCGGAACGGATGGCTAGAGGAAGAGGGTGCCAAATTTTGGCCTCACACAGGGCACCAGAGAAAGACCAAAGCCCCTGTAGGTGGTCATATAAGCCAAAAGGTTAGCAGTGGTAAATCCAGTCAAGGATCAGGGCCAAGGTTCAGGTGTCCAAGATCAGTTACATACAAGGGGTCCAAGACTGCTTGGGAGCTGTGTAGTAGTTTCAACGGGTTTCAACACAAACTGAAGATGCAGGTGTGCAGTTTCAGCTTTGGTCCCAGGTTCCATCATCAACCCTCCCATCTTGTTTGCCATGGTCAACATGGGAGTCCAGTTTACTAGAGCAGGTGAGAAATGAGATGGATCCTCGCAAGGAATGTTGAAAGGAAAATAGTGGAATCTACCAAAGCTCTCCTTCCAGACAACAATTGCAGTATGGAGATGAAATCTCCAACTGGTTGCATCATGAGGTTACGTTTGCCATTCTTCATTCTCCATTTCTTTTAGCTGTGCTTGTTCAACACAATAGGTGAGGGCAGTGCAGTAACACTTGGCAGAAGGCCAGATTTGTTAGGAAATCAATGTTCTGTGTATCAAAGTAAGTCAACTGAGACATGTGACAAAAGGCCCACTGAAATGAAAACAAGGTGAGCGAAACCAAATCGGATGGAAAGGGTGACCTCCCAGTGAACCAAAATGTAAGCGTTAAAGAACTAGGGCAGGATGACTTGCTAAGGAAGAGCATACACTGAGGACATGCAACAGCCTGTGCATGTTGTCCTGTTGGCAATAAGGCCATCTTAGACTGTGCTTGTACAAACAGATTCTGTATGGAGGGCAGGTATCTGAGTTTATAAAAGACCTACTTGAACATCAGCAACACAGAAGCAATGGTTGTGTCAAGTAGCCCCACCCTAGACCTTGCATGATTCTCCCCAGATATATGCACAAGCATCAGTAGGATTTGTGGTATGTATATGCAGAGGTTTACCTGGAACCTTGCTCATTCAGGTAAGTCTATACACATACTTCCATAAATGCTGTATATGTAGACATCTGGGGAGGAACATTCTCTGTTGCAGGGTGAGGCAGGCTACTTGCTCCCATGTTGGCAGGGCTCCACTCCTTGCCCCCAGGTTGTTGAACACAGGAGCTAATAACCCAGCATAAGCCTACGGCCAACAATATATTTTAAATCTACTGTCATGAAGCTGGATACTTTCTCTTATTCCTCTTTACCTCACAAGGAACTGTTTCTGGAAAATGCTGGGGGAAATTATGAAAGAAATAGAAGGAATTGCTATATATTTTTTGGTTTGAGACTGTACCTATCTTACTGCGGCAAGCAAGACCCAAATAACAGAGGCTGGTGTAGGATTTGATTGAAGATGAGTGAGACCCTCTTGGTTCCCCTCGGATTGGCTCAGGATTTCCCCAAACTTCCCCAAGCCAGTTCACAAACACAGAAAAGTGTTCTCTGCAATGGTAAGAGCCTTTGGAAGAAATCTAGCTCCTAAAGGTCTCCTTGTTGTTCAAATTGTTGCAAGTGGAATCCCTGATCTGGACCTTGTGCAGAGTAGAAATGGATTTGCTCTCCAACACAAGAATGAGTTTCAAAGGTTTACTGGAAACAGTCTTAAAATGCTTACAAATAAATGCTACAAATTACAAGGTAACATGGCTCTTAAACAAGCAAGCAATGGGGTCCAGTCTTCTTTTTAGTTCTTAATACAGTTCAACAAACTTTCCTCTCTCTGGTTCCAGAGAGCAAGAGATCCTATGCAACTTACTTGTTCAGCAACGCTGAGCTAAGTTCCTATCACTGCCGCTGGCTCCATCAACAGCTTTCACCTTCCTGCTGTCAGAAATTGTGCGGGTTTCCAGTGATGAGTCATCAATTAACCTACTCTAGCCTTTCCTTGCTGCATTTACCTAGAGTTTAACCTCTCTTGCCTAATACAAACTTATCTACAGACACAATCTTTCAAGCACGATGCATACAAAAATTCCATATTAAACTCATATCCTTAACACATGCTTCACCATGCTATTAGCCTGGATGACAAGGGTGGGAAGAACCCCTTCCCCATTTTCCTTTCCTGTTGTGGCCTCTACTGTCAAATGAGAAAAGGTGTGTGTTTTGGGTGGTGGTGGCAGCAGCAAAGGCAGCTTTGGAAGATGAAGAAGGATGATGGAAGAAAGGTAGCGGGGGGGGGGGTCAGAATTCTCCCCCCTCTTGTATTTTGAGCAAGCAGAGCAAGAATTCCGAAGCTTGTAAACCTTCTCATTCAGCGATGTGAGGGTGAGTAGTTTATGAGCTCCCAGAGTTTGTCTTCAGGTCCCTGCTGGGTGAACCTCACTGACATCTTTAATCCTTTCCCAAAGCATTGAGACAAGTTAGTGGCAAGGGCTGCCTAGTGTGATGGTTAACTCACTCTGCCAAATAAACTCAAACCAATGGATTTTCAATGAATAAATAATTAAACGGAGAGAGAGGGAAAACTGCTATGAAGTTTAGTTACCATTAATGAATGGGAATATATTCTTCTTTTCTTTTTGGGGAGTGGGGGGAGGGGTGGAAATTCTTAACATAGTCAGGAGAATAAGAAGATCAGATGCTAATGGGATTGCTTTTTTAACCTGTTATCAGAATGGCAAATTCATGATGAGTGTTATATTATTCATTTATTTAGCTGATTTCTCTTGCACTTTCTATTTTGGGAGAGGAGGAGAATCTCTAAGTGGTTTACAGCATAACTTAAAATATTAAATACAGTATCACAGACTGTCTGAATAGGACATTACATATGAACAAAACGAAATGCAACAATAGAATAAAGAGCCACATTTACAACAGGATCTTTAACAAAAAAACGAAATTATCCCCCTAAATGTCAAAAAGTTAGAGGTAAAAATCTAATGTGAAAATTCAATAAAAATTCCACATATGAAAGCATTGTTACTGGCTAAACACAACAACAAATTTTATTTATATCCCGCACTCCCTGGCCAGAACTGGGCTCAGGGCAGCTAACATCAAAATATATGATACATTTAAACATTACACTTACAGTTTCGGCAACTCAGTCCACTCCAATTAAATAAAACCAAACAAATATGAGGCAGAAACTGCAACCCCCTTCCCTTCATAAAGTACGGTAACATCTCACCAGCACCTCCTTAGCACTTTCACACACACAAACCCTCACTCTCAGCCATTCCCAGCTGCCATACTCATAAAACAGTTAGTCACTAGCCAGCCATTTGTCAAGAAGCAAACATCTGGTCTACAAACAATCCATATCAACATTAAGTTCAATATACAACCAGCTCATTCACCCACCTCCATCTGGGGCAATACAGTTTGACATGCAAATATCAACATAGCCACTCCCTCCCTATTTCCCACCCAGGTAGCATCTTACTCTGTACTGGTTCATACTGAGTGGTATTATTATAACCCAGATTCTCATCCTTGGCAGCAAAAAAAAAAAATCAAAAACATGATTCCAGTTACTATCCAAAAATGCATCACTCACTTTCTCCTCCTGGATACTAAAGTCAACAATGCAAACTTCAATAAGACAGTGCCCTTGCCCTCATGATGGCATCATATGCAGCCTCATAAGAAGTTTGCAACCCTGTTTATAAATGCCGACGAGTGAGTGCTCACACAGGTATTCAACAAGAAAGGCAACCATTTTTTGGTATTTTGTTACATAGAGGCAAAGCTTTACAAGAAAGTTGTTAGCTTATAGTCAGATTTTCATGGTGACATGCTTTGAACAACTGTCAAAGATTAAACCCCCAGATGGGATTAATAAAACTATGCCAACCACACAGGAATGCTTATGCAATAAAATGTGGAGCTGATTGACATATGCATGCCCATCAGTTGTTGCTTCATCATCACTAGATGACTGGCAGCTGAATGTGTAATGTACCAACCATTGAAAATGGGAAATGATCTGATAGCTCTCTGGTGGATATTTCATAATGCCAGGATTCACTTGATGTTGCTGTCACTGAGTGATAAGCATGTAGTCTGTGTGAATTCACTCTCCACAGGAGAATGACAATAGTCAGAGTCAGCGCATGGTAACCTTTTCTTGTCAACAGAAAGAGACAGACTGAAAGAGAAAGCGAGTATTCTCTGTAACACAAGGTTAACTACTCAGGATTGCAATCTAGATATTTACGGTATATCATCATCAATCAAAGGTTTAAACTTTAAGCAATTGTAACTAGGGATGCCAGAGAATTCCACCAGAGGCAGAATAGGGAATGGAAATTCCCACAATTCATCTGTTCATCCGAGGTCAGGAACAGAAACCACACAAGCAAAATACATGCAGTATTTGCTGTTATTTTATTTATTTTTTATTACTTCACAAATGCTGTGTAAATAATTACACTATTTTCTGCAGCATTTCTCTTCTATTGAAATTGATGCCTTCTCTGATGGAAAAATCCTGGCTGGATCTCAGTGTCCGGGCTGAAAGATGGGGGTCGAGACGCTCCTTTAGGTATTCTTCTTCAGCTGCTGGCAAAAAGCCATGGCATGTTCCCAGATACCAGTATTTTGATTTCAGAGAACTCTGTTTTTGGAGAAAGGAACATAACAATGACTTCTCCTGAGACCATCAGCCTAAAAATGTCTTGCTAGTCAGCTTCCAAGTCCTTAAAAAGACTGAAAGTCAAACACTCATCTCCTTTGTGACTCCTGCCTGCTAAAAGAATACACTGAATCATCCAATATATTTCTTTTTTCTCCCCTTTTGTTTCAAATTTTCACTGCTTCTTTTTGTTGTTGCCCCCGTCAAAATAGAGGCGACCCCAAAGCAACGTCTTGGAAGCTTTAATTTTTTCTCTCTGTTCTTGTTCCCATGGATACACTCAATTCAATTTACAAGAGCATTGGAATATTATCTGAGGATTACTGGGGCATGATACCATTTCAAAAAGAAAACACATGTCTGCCTGCTCTTGCTCCCTCATCTTCCCCATCGCAAACCCAGTAGATTTAGATGCACAGGCCGCGTTGCACCCAGGTGATCTTCTCTCACACCATATTTGTAGGACACTGCTCTCACTGTTTACACTGGAGGTCTTTCCACCCATGATTCTCTCTCACTGTCGTTGCAAACAGTTGCTAGCATGATGTGTTTAATTGCATAAGCCTAATCATTTGCAAGGTGGCTTTAGCAGGCTACTTATAACATCAGTGGATGTACTTCCCATGTAATATATGAAAATGTAAGGAAAACCTGGTGGATCAGCCAATGAACCATCTATTCCTGCTTCCTGTTCTCCCAGAGGCCAACCAGATCCCCTCCTGTGGTTGATGGAAACCACAGGAGGGAAAATTGCTGTTGTGCACACACACAGGCAGGAGCTGTGCACAACAGCAATCTTCCCTCCTGTAGTTTCCATTAACTGATACGATGTGATTAAAAACAACTGGCAAATAGCCCTTCCATATAAAAAATAGTTGTATGTGTTATGTATTCAGTGGTCTGTGTTTGCCTGAGCTTGTGTCTGGACTAAGGATTCTGAGCCCCTGTGTTCTGATTCGATACATGATATCCAATCATGAGCAGCAAAGTCAGTCCTCAGGGAATGTGCAGGCGACCTTGGAACGGACAGCTCACGGAAGAACCCCGACCAAACCTAAGAGGAGGCGTGTAGTGGTGATAGAGGATTCCCTACTGAGGGGAACAGAAGCAGTGATCTGTGGGCCTGACAAGATGTCTCGGGAAGTGTGCTGTCTCCCCGGGCTAAGATCCAAGATGTAACTGAACGACTGCAAGGAATCATAAAACCCACTGACAAATACCCCTTCCTCTTGGTTCATGTGGGAACCAATGACACTGCAAGCAATAGCCTCCAGAAGATCAAAAGAGACTACGAGGCTCTGGGCAGGAAATTGAAGCAATTAAATGCACAAATTGTCATCTCATCTGTCCTCCCAGTTGAACGGCGTGGCCCAGGGAGAGAGGGAAAAATAGTGGAAGTGAACAGCTGGCTTCGAAAATGGTGTAAACAGGAACGGTTTGGATTCTTAGATCACAGACTGCAGTTTCTTGAAGATGGACTTCTGGCAAGCGATGGGCTGCACCTCACAACAGTTGGGAGAAATGTTTTTGCCAAAAATCTCAGAAACCTCATCAGGAGGGCTTTAAACTGACTAATGTGGGGAGGGAGACAGTTCTCCTGAAGGTAGGAGTATATAACTTGATGAAGATTATCATCCAAATGTCATAGACCAAATGTAGCTAACAGCACGCAGACCTTGTGGTGGGAGGTAAAAATGCTTAAATAAGAGACACGGGGGAATTATTAATGGACTTCAATGTCTGTACACTAATGCGCAAAGCATGGGAAATAAACAAGATGAGCTTGAGCTCTTGGTACAGCAAACTAAATATGACATAATAGGCATCACTGAAACCTGGTGGGATAAGTCCCACGATTGGAATGTAATAATGGGGGATACAATCTATTTCAGAGAAACAGACCAGACAAGAAAGGAGGAGGAGTGGCGTTATATGTCAGGGATGTGTATACCTGTGAAGAGATCCAAGATTTAGAACCTCAAAGCCAAAGTGAGAGCATTTGGGTCAAAATTAAGGGAGAGAAGAATAACAGTGACCTCATTGTGGGAGTTTACTATAGATCCCCAAGCCAAATGGAGGACATAGATGATGCCTTCCTGGAACAGATGGCCAAGCATGCAAAAGGAAGGGAGATAGTAGTAATGGGGACTTCAATTACCCGGATATTTGTTGGATGTCAAACTCAGCCAAGAGCATAAGGTCAAACAGATTCCTCACTGGCCTTGCAGACAACTTCATTGTCCAGAAAGTGGGAGAAGCAACAAGAGGAACAGCCATTTTAGATCTGGTCCTAACCAATGTTGATGACCTGGTTAGTGGGGTAGAAGTGGAAGGATCATTAGGCGCAAGTGATCATGCTCTTCTGAAGTTTACTATACAGCGGAAAGGAGCAGCCAAGCATACTAGGACTCAATTTCTTGACTTTAAGAAAGCCGACTTCATAAAACTTAGGGAAGTGCTGGGTGAGATCCCATGGACAGTAATACTAAAAGGAAAGGGAGTTCATGATGGCTGGGAGTTTGTTAAGAGGGAGATAGTAAAAGCACAACGTCAGGCAATACCAATGAGACGGAAACATGGAAGGTGCCTAAAGAAGCCAGGGTGGCTATCTAAAGAACTTTTAACTGAGTTAAGATTAAAAAGGATGTGTACAAAAATGGAAAAGGGGGGAAACCACCAAAGAGGAATTCAAACAAATAGCCAGCATGTGTAGACACAAAGTCAGAAAAGCTAAAGCACAGAATGAACTCAGGCTTGCTAGAGAGGTTAAAAGCAACAAAAAAGGCTTTTATGGGTATGTTCATAGCAAAAGGAAGAACAAAGAAACAGTGGGGTCACTCAGAGGAGAAGATGGTGAAATGCAAACAGGGGACACAGAAAGGGCTGAACTCCTCAATGCCTTCTTTGCCTCAGTCTTCTCCAATAAAGAAAACAATGCCCGACCTGAAGAATTTGGAGCAAATGATTCAGCAAGGAAACACAGCCCAGAATAACTAAGGAGATAGTACAAGAATACTTGGCTAGTTTAGATGTATTCAAGTCTCCAGGGCCAGATGAACTGGATCCAAGAGTATTAAAAGAACTGGCAGCTGTGATCTCAGAACCACTGGCAGTCATCTTTGAGAATTCCTGGAGAACAGGCGAAGTCCCGGCAGACTGGAGGAGGGCAAATGTTGTCCCTATTTTCAAAAAGGGGAAAAGAGAGGACCCAAATAATTACCGCCCAGTCAGTCTGACATCAATACCAGGGAAGATTCTGGAGCAGATCATTAAGCAAACAGCCTGTGAGCACCAAGAAAGGAATGCTGTGATCACCAATAGTCAGCATGGATTTCTGAAAAATAAGTCATGTCAGACTCACCTGATCTCGTTTTTTGACAGAATTACAAGCCTGGTAGATGAAGGGAACGCAGTGGATGTAGCCTACCTTGATTTCAACAAGGCATTTGACAAGGTGCCCCATGATATTCTTGTAAAGAAGCTGGTAAAATGTGGTCTTGACTATGCTACCACTCAGTGGATTTGTAACTGGCTGACTGACCGAACCCAAAGGGTGCTCATCAATGGTTCCTCTTCATCCTGGAGAAGAGTGACTAGTGGGGTGCCACAGGGTTCTGTCTTGGGCCCGGTCTTATTCAACATCTTTATCAACGACTTGGATGATGGACTCAAGGGCATCCTGATCAAATTTGCAGATGACACCAAACTGGGAGGGGTGGCTAACACCCCAGAGGACAGGATCACACTTCAAAACGACCTTGACAGATTAGAGAACTGGGCCAAAACAAACAAGATGAATTTTAACAGGGAGAAATGTAAAGTATTGCACTTGGGCAAAAAAATTGAGAGGCACAAATACAAGATGGGTGACACCTGGCTTGAGAGCAGTACATGTGAAAAGGATCTAGGAGTCTTGGATGACCACAAACATGACATGAGCCAACAGTGTGACGCGGCAGCTAAAAAAGCCAATGCAATTCTGGGCTGCATCAATAGGAGTATAGCATCTAGATCAAGGGAAGTAATAGTGCCACTGTATTCTGCTCTGGTCAGACCTCACCTGGAGTACTGTGTCCAGTTCTGGGCACCACAATTCAAGAAGGGCACTGAAAAACTGGAACGTGTCCAGAGGAGGGCAACCAAAATGGTCAAAGGCCTGGAAACGATGCCTTATGAGGAACGGCTAAGGGAGCTGGGCATGTTTAGCCTGGAGAAGAGGAGGTTAAGGGGTGATATGATAGCCATGTTCAAATATATAAAAGGATGTCACATAGAGGAGGGAGAAAGGTTGTTTTCTGCTGCTCCAGAGAAGCGGACACGGAGCAATGGATCCAAACTACAAGAAAGAAGATTCCACCTAAACATTAGGAAGAACTTCCTGACAGTAAGAGCTGTTCGACAGTGGAATTTGCTGCCAATGAGTGTGGTGGAGTCTCCTTCTTTGGAGGTCTTTAAGCAGAGGCTTGACAACCATATGTCAGGAGTGCTCTGATGGTGTTTCCTGCTTGGCAGGGGGTTGGACTCGATGGCCCTTGTGGTCTCTTCCAACTCTATGATTCTATGATTCTATGATTCAATCACAGAACATTTCAGGATTTGGGCCTCCGCCACTGGCCCTTAAACTCTGCCTTATGATTCACAGCTTGGAAGTTTAGAAAGCCAATCACGTTGGGAATGGGAGTGGCCCAGGCCTCCAGGAATGTGTATATCAGCAGTTGCTTTGCCCCTGTTGTCCAGTTATGTAGTTCAATAAAGGTTCTTGCTGTTATCACTGTGTCTTGCCTCGTGGGAACCCACCTACACTTCAGTAAGATGGCCCTGAAAAGAACAAGTGTTCAACCTAGAATATATTTGTGGTGTTTGCCTGTTTGTTTGAAAAATGTCTGCACAGGGGGAGAGAAAGGGTTAATATGTAAACCAATAGGAAAGCCGGAGGCGGAGCCTACCTGTATATAAAAGGGCTTAGTTTGAGTTGGTTGTTGGTGGGTAGTTGGTTGGTTTTAGTGGGTTGGTTGGTTGGGAAAGGCAGTTGGAAAAGCAGTTGGCAGGCAGTTGGAAATAGAGAGACAGTAGGTGCTGTGGGTTCTTGTGTGAGGGGAGGTAGAAGAGATAGAGACAGGATAAAATAAGACTAAGAAGGTAAAGAGTAACAACGTCTGGAATGCAGTTAAAGTTTGTTTGTGTCTGAAATAAACTACACTCTTTGTTAACTTGAGAACCTGACTGAGACTAAGGGATTTAGTGGGGAGGACCTGGTTGGTGGCAGTGGATTAGTAGTGTATGGGTCAATAGTCCATGAGATGACCAGGGGCTCCTAACAAATGCCACAATACTGCTTAGTCAACCACTGAACCATCAGTAAAAACTTAGAGAGCCTAGCTGGATCTGACCAAAGGCCCAGCTAATTCAGCCTCATGTTCCCTAGAGAATAGTCCTCTCTTGCTGTTTCCTAGTAGCTGGTATGTAATGCCTATCAACCATATCACCTCCATATTGCTATCATGACTGGGAAGCCATAGACACACCATCCATGAATTTGTGTAACCCCCCCCCTTCCCTCACTGCCCATGCTAATGACCAACTGCAAATCTTGTGGTGATGAGCAAAATAGGGTGGGCAAAGAAAGAGCGAAGTAAATCCTGTGATAGACTGAGTGTCAAAACTACATGCTATTAAACTGAGAAGCCTCCCACAAGAGGCCTCCCTCATCATGACCAGCATTTTGCTAGTACGTGTGCTCTGTACTGAGCAGAGAGATCATCACAGCACCTCTTTCCATGGCACGCATGCAGCACGATCTGCAGCCCAGCATTATCTAGATCTGTTTTTAAGCCTTCATTTAGCATCATTGAAGCGGGCACCTGTATTTTCCTGGGCAAATCACGGAACTATGTCAGCTCATTTCAATCTCAAAAGGTCTGCTGTGTTTTCCTCCCGATTGGAAGCTGCATCTGGTACAGGCTGTGAAGGAAACATAAATAATAGAATATTTTTAAAGCTGTAGGATTTGGTGGTGGAGGAGGAATATGTGTGGCAGGGGAGGCATCCATGTTTAGAGGAGGAGAATGGTGCTCTCAGGAGGAACACCTTGGTCCAGATCAGTAACTTAGGATGTAGCAACACCACTTCAGCTTCCTTGTTTCAATAGGTTTGTGGTGGTGGGGATAATATATAGGTCACACTTGTGGGGTAAATAGTAAAAGAATTGGCTGGATCCCTAAATCCAAAGCACAGGGCTAAACACACACTCCAGCAACAGAGAGCCCCCGGTAGAGTTTAGAAGTCACCATTTTTTTCCTAGTAGAAAAGCACTGCTCAGTTTCTCATATTCAACCATAAATTCAGTTCACCTCATTTCTTCAGCAACCTGCATTTTTTAATTTAAAAAACTCCTCAAAATACAACAGCATTTGAGTGCAAATTTCTCATAAAGAACACAATTTTGTAGGCAGCTTTGACTAATGCATGCAATTACCCTCACTATGCATCTTTCTGTGCTATTTTGTATGCAATGCTTTGTTGGAGAATTGCATTGCAAGATTCAGAAAAGTGCCCATTTTAAATGATAACTGTGTTTTGGTTTGCATATTGGTTCAAGAAGTGTAAACTGGACAGCTTCTCATTAAAATGCAAATAAAACTGAATTTCTCCCCCAATCCCTTATTCTGAGCATTTATTTACATTAATATTCCTAGACTACTTTTCCTCTGATATGTCTTCAAAGTGGCTAGCAAAGTTTTATAAAATCCACAGTCAAACTATCAAACTATCAACAAATGAGGACACTACAGGGGGGAAACAGTTTGCACAACAAACCACAGAAACAAATCCATCAATACCAAAGACCCAGCTAAATAAAACTGTTTCTTCCAGGAGAACTGGCAATTGAGGCATGACTCAAGAGTGATGCCACTTCCGAAGCCACCATTTCTTTTCCTCCTCAGCATATACAATTGCTCAGACATCCTTGTCAAATACAGTATCCTTCATACTCCCTCACTCATTCTGAGGCTCTGTGGTGTACCACTTTCCAGGAATGATAAAACTTGTGCTAAAATAAGGAGGACTTAACAACAGGAATAATTTGTAGTGTGAGGACAAAACAAAAAGTGGTTCTGGTGAATGTTCTGACAGGAATAGAATTCAATGTTATGACCTTGAGGAAGTAGAGGCCAGACGAAATAACAACCGGTAGGACAGCACATTTTCTTCAACCAGTACTATAAGCCAGAATTCCTGAGATCCCTTGCCCCGTTGCTTTAGCAAGTCCCCCTCTGCACACGATAAACCCATGATATGGATGAAACCTGTACTAGCCAGCCAGGCATTGCTCACCTGACTTCCCAACACCAAGTGCCCCTGCCAGACCCTGAGAGGAAGAGGGATGAGGCCACCCTGCTCTTGCTCAACCCCCATGGACTTCAACTGAGTAAAGCTTTCCCAAGAAGCTTCCAGCTTTTCTGTCCTGAACGTTCGCTGCACGTGTTGGAACTTTCTTTTGTTGTCTTTCCAGACCAACCTGCATTGCATTCATGTATCACAGAATCCTGGGAACCTCAGCTTGCCCCTCACAGATTTACAATTCCAAGCACCCTTATCTAACTACAGTTCCCAGGATTCTTTGGGCAAAGCCATGTGTTTCTAAAAATTTATTAATATTTTATTAAGAAACTTTCAGTCATGGAAAATTAAGTGCTTTAAATGTATGGTTTATGTGCAGCCCACGATTTCATCTCTGGCTTGTCTGTCACAATGGAGACCTGTCAGCTTTTCTTTGTTTATTTCTCCAAAGGACATCAGTGTTCATTGTTCCCCAGCCAGATGAAGCTGATGCACATGATGAGTCAGTCTGTTTCTCCTGCCTTCCCGAAGCCAAGCTGGAAACTCAGTGGGAAAAGTTTGGCTCCAGTTTAACATAATCTAAACCCTCTGAGGAAGCTTTAATGTCACTATCTTCTCAGAATGGCAGTTAAGGATCTTTCATCAGCTTCAAGTGTTTTAACACCATAAATGTTTACACCAAGTTCTTATTCAGTCACTACATATTCTATCACTTACCAACATGGATCATATCCACTGAAAGTGTTAGAAACATGCTATAAATACTTAAAAGTCACTTGGGGCTAGGATTGTACAGATGAATCTATTTCTGGTCCTTGACAATTTTGTTAGCAAGTCCATTTAACCATCTTTCTACAAATCCACATATTTTTAAAAAATTGTATTTAAATACAGATTGAAATACATACTAAAATATTTGTTTCACCACACACACACATGCATACATTAGAAGACAGAATTGGGATTCAAGATGACCTTAACAGATTGGAGAACTGGGCCCAAGATAACAAAATGAATTTCAGTAGGGACAAATGTAAGATTCTGCACTTAGAAAGGAAGAATCAGATGCATAAATATAAGATGGGAGACACCTGGCTTACTAGCAGTACATGTGAAAAGGATCTAGGGGACATGGTGGACCACAAGCTTAACATGAGTCAACAGTGTGATGCAGCAGCAAAAAAAAAAGCTAATGTTATTCTAGGCTGCATCAACAGAAGTCTAGCGTCCAAGAGCAGTAATAGTACCACTTTATTCTGCCTTCGTCAGACCACAGCTGTGTCCAGTTCTGGGTGCCACAGTTTAAGTAGGAGGTTGACAAGATGGAAGGTGTGCAGAGGAGGGCAACCAAGATGATCAAGGGTCTGGAAACCAAGCCTTATGAGGAACATTTGAAGGAGCTGGGTATGTTTGATCTACAAAAGAGGAGACAGAGGAGATGTGATAGACATCTTAAAATATCTCAAGGGCTGTTTTCTCCTGCTCTTGAGGGTAGGACTCAAATCAAACCAATGGCTTCAAGCTAGAAGAAAGGAGATTCTGACTAAACATCAGGAAAAACATTCTGACAGTAAGAGCTGTTTGACAGTGGAACAGACTTCCTTGGAAAGTGGTCAACTCTCCTTTTTTGGAGGTTTTCAAGCAGAGGTTGGATGGTCATCTGTCATGGATGCTTTAGTTGAGATTCCCGCATTCCAGGGGGTTGAACTGAGTGACCCAAAAGAGTGCAAAATTTGTCAGTTTGCTTTAAAACATGGGGCAGATTTCTTGGGTCTATGTTAGCTATCCCTGAATGCTCTGGGATGAGTTAAATGTGCAGTCCTGTGGAATGGGAGACCTTTTCTGTTACAAATCTATTAGCATAGGCACTTTGGAATGCTTCCTAAGGGCACAGTCTAATGTTTTATTTAAAATATTTATACCCCCGCCTTTCCTTATAAAGAAGGGCTCAGAAATAAGGGCCATAACATACAAAAAGATTAAAAATACACACAATAATGAAACAGAGCAGCAGGCCAAGAGAGAAAAACAAGTTAAGATAGTGGGGAGGGAAATCGTTAAAGCCCCATTATAAAGCTTCCCAAGAGAGCATCAAAGGCTGGGTGGTAAAGTCAGGCATTAAAAATCTTTTCAGAAAGAAAAGCTTTAAGCTCACTGCAGAAAGGCAATAAGGAGGGGGCAAAGAGGCCTCCTAGTGAAGGGAGTTCCAGAATCTGGGTGCAGCAACGGGAAGGTGCCAATTCCTTCTTCCCATCAAATGTGAGCTTGTAACTGAGAGGAGGTGTTCTTTAACTATTTTATTATTTCCTGATGTGTGGGAAGATTCACTGGAGAAGAGGCGGTGCTTCAGATGCCCTAGCCCTGAGCTGCATAGTGCTTTAAATGTCATTTTACTGCATACTGGGGTAATAAGGTATGTACGGGGGGGGGGGGATCACATGTGCTGCTGGGAGTTCTTTCACAATATGTATCAAAGTGCATCTGTTTAATTTCAATGAGACTGACATAGTTTGATTTTGTTATTGATATCTGCATTTTTCTTTCTCACCCTTTCTGCCTCTCTCTTATTCTATTTTGTGGTCATTTCAATGGCGATGATTATATTAAGACTGTACGATCACTTTGCAGTGTTCAAAATTTCAAACATTATTTTTTTTTGCTGGTGTGGAAAAAGTTCAAGAGCTAAAGAAATATATTCACCCACACCAAATCAAAAGCTAAACTTTGAATTGTGCCCAGAAAAAACAGGAACACTAACTAATGCACACGCATGAAAACATACATACTAGTGCAAAATGTAAGCTAGCCAGGCAACCTTTTCATAGGCAAAATTCAAGATTCACAGGATAATCCAAAGCAGACATGGGGTTTTTCTCTCAGTTTCTCTTCCCTACCATTTGTGGCTTTGATTCCTGCTGTGAACAGATTCTGAAGCTCTGAGTTAACTAAAACTGTCTGTCTTTCCTACATACATCTCTTTCTGGC